CAAAATGGCTTTTCCAAAATTTCGGATAGTTCTTCAACAGATAAAGTTCCACTACCAATCCTGCTCAGCGACTCTCCCATGTTGAACAAAGCTGGAAAACTTCTAGGAGCCCTTACTGTTAATCCATCCTCTGTCTTAAGGAAGACAAGAGAGTCTCCAGGAGACAGCTTCTTGCTGTCCAAGAACGGTCTCTACCCACTTGCAAGGCTGTGAAACTCTAGAATGTGGTTGTACCTATGCTCAAATGTCCATATGCGTCTGTGAATGTCCCTGATTTGTAAGCTAACATGTTCCTTGGGTAACACTACACCAACTCCAAGGCTAGCTGCAGTAATGGTGCACTCTTGACTTATCAGATCGTTGGTATCAATAACCTTGATGAATCCCGGTAGTATTGTCGGTCTAGAAGCTGGAGATGGGGTGTTTGATGCAGGCATAGTCGCTGGCCTAGAAGCAGTAGGAGCTCGTGTGTTTGATGCATGCATAGTCACTGGCCTAGAAGCAGCATGAGCTCGTGTGTTTGATGCATGCATAGTTGATGACCCACGAGCAACAGGAGATGGGGTGTTTTATGCAGGAATAGTCGCGGGCCTAGAAGCAACATGAGCTCTTGTGTTTGATGCATGCATAGTCACTGGCCTAGAAGCAGCAGGAGCTCGTGTGTTTGATGCATGCATGGCTGATGACCCACGAGCAACATGAGATGGGGTGTTTGATGCAGGCATAGTCGCTGGCCCAAGAGATGGGGTGTTTGATGCATGCATAGTCGCTGGCCTAGAATCAGCAGGAGCTCGCGTGTTTGATGCAGGCATAGTTGATGACCCACGAGCAACAGGAGATGGGGTGTTTGATGCAGGCATAGTCGCTGGCCTAGAAGCAACAGGAGCTTGTGTGTTTGATGCAGGCATAGTCACTGGCCTAGAAGCAGCAGGAGCTCGTGTGTTTGATGCATGCATAGCTGATGACCCACGAGCAACATGAGATGGGGTGTTTGATGCAGGCATAGTCGCGGGCCTAGAAGCAACAGGATTTCGTGTGTTTGATGCATGCATAGTCACTGGCCTAGAAGCAGCATGAGCTCGTGTGTTTGATGCATGCATAGCTGATGACCCACGAGCAACATGAGATGGGGGGTTTGATTCATGCATAGTCGCTGGCCCAAGAGATGGGGTGTTTGATGCAGGCATAGTCGCTGGCCTAGAAGCAGCAGGAGCTCGCGTGTTTGATGCATGCATAGTTGATGACCCACGAGGAACATGAGATGGGGTGTTTGATGCAGGCATAGTCGCGGGCCTAGAAGCAACATGAGCTCGTGTGTTTGATGCAGGCATAGTCACTGGCCTAGAAGCAGCAGTAGCTCGTGTGTTTGATGCATGCATAGCTGATGACCCACGAGCAACATGAGATGGGGGGTTTGATGCAGGCATAGTCGCTGGCCCAAGAGATGGGGTGTTTGATGCATGCATAGTCGCTGGCCTAGAAGCAACAGGAGCTCGCGTGTTTGATGCATGCATAGTTGATGACCCACGAGCAACATGAGATGGGGTGTTTGATGCATGCATAGTCGCGGGCCTAGAAGCAACATAAGGTTGTGTGTTTGATGCAGGCATAGTCATTGGCCTAGAAGCAGCAGGAGCTCGTGTGTTTGATGCATGCATAGCTGATGACCCACGAGCAACAGGAGATGGGGTGTTTGATGCAGGCATAGTTGCGGGCCTAGAAGCAACAGGAGCTCGTGTGTTTGATGCATGCATAGTCACTGGCCTAGAAGCAGCAGTACCTCGTGTGTTTGATGCATGCATATCTGATGACCCATGAGCAACATGAGATGGGGTGTTTGATGCAGGCATAGTCACTGACCCAAGAGATGGGGTGTTTGATGCAGGCATAGTCGCTGGCCTAAAAGCAGCAGGAGCTCGAGAGTTGCTTGATAACTTGATAACAACCTTCGCATAGACCTCATCTGTTATGGTATCAGCAAGGTACTGAATTGACACAACTGAGCATCCAAAACATGGCAAGCGAGAGCAGAAGAGTCTGAGTTCTTCGCTGCTGCTACACTGGCCAATGAGTCCCTGTGGGATAAAAAGGCATTTTTTCAAACATAGCAGGTCCAAGTGTTAACTGTCCGCCACAAGCTGACCAGATCCTTGGGTCAACTTGTTGTTGTGCCATCTGTAAAAGAAAAAGTAGTGAAGTTGAGATTCTTTTCAAACCCTAATCGCAAGACAGTAAACGGAAACCTCATCATCATTGATTCATTCAAGACAATACTCAAAATATTTTGGGTACTTTAATGTACAACAATTCCTAAATTTTCCTAAATATGTTTATAATTCAAAAAAAGAACCCGCGCTTTCAAAGCGCGGATCAAAATCTAGTTGGATATTAAAACCCGAAACAAGCAATCCAAAACAAACTAATATCCAAATTAAATCTCAGGCAAGCTTATCCTAGTTGTGTTTTATATATAAGTAGAGATTCTGAGGCGCAAGGGCTCACAGAGACAAAAAAAAAAAAAAAAACCCTAACCCTAGTTACTGATTGAAACAATGACGGGGATCTGCGATCTTCCAAACAGTCTGCTAGAGCATATTCTGTCTAGACTTCCTTTGGAGTGTATGAGAGCAGTGCGATTAACATGCAAAGAGTGGGACACTTTGTCCAAAAGTCGAAGCTTTGCAAAGATGCATATTGATAAAATAAGAGAGTCCATGATAATCACACTGATGGATTACAATCTATATCTCAATGAAGATCCATATAAAGGTAAACTTGTATGCTTAGACAAACAAATTAAGATATCTCAAGTATTCCACTGCGATGGTTTATTGTTATGCGCTTTGGAAGAAGACGATACCAAGGTTGTTGTTTGGAATCCGTATTGGGGTCAGACAAGGTGGATAGAAACAAGATATTATCACCGTCCATGCGGATGTGAGGGGTACAATTACGCTCTCGGATACGAGGACAAGAACTCTTGTCGTAGCTACAAAATCTTGAGGTTTATAGATCAGTATGAGAATGCTCCTGAAGAGCAGTTTGTGTTGTATGAAATCTTCGATTTCGACTCTGGTTCATGGAGGACCCTTGATGTTACTCCACACTGGCGTATATTGTATGGTCAGTGTGCCTTGTCTCTCAAGGGAAACACTTACTGGCCTGCTTCACATAGAAACTCAGTACAGCAGGGGCTTAGTGAAGATCACATAATCGGTTTTGATTTTACAAGTGAGACGTTCGGGCCGCTTCTTCCTCTACCGTTTGGCCATATTCCTGGATACGTGACTTTTTCATGTGTTAGAGAAGAAGAAAAGAAGAAGAGAAGCTTGGGTTTTTACTTAGGTGGCCCTACCTTGAGTTTGGCACATGGGTTACGGCTAAGATTGAAGCTGAAAACGTGTGGTGGAGCGAGAAGTTATCCGTGGATACACAGCCTAACCATGGGAGTTTTTTCATGGATGATACTGAAGACACAAATTGTAGCGCACTTGCTTGCTCTTATGTTCCAAGCTTAGCTCAAATCAAGCAACCTTCTGCAGGATGCAAAAGGAAACAACAAAATGACTTTGAAACTCAAGAATATGATCAAACCAGCTTGACACTTGAAAATCGCAGCAAGGAATGCAAGAGGAGATGATTAATTAGTCTCAGTTAACAAACCTTAGTTTGTAGTCGTTCACTTACTCTTCTTCTCTTAATTTGTGTTCATTTACTTTTGGTGATTTTTTCCTATATATATGTCCATTGCCTTGTGAGGTATGACTTTGTTTAATCAGGTATAACAGTCAAATAACCATGAATTTGAACACACTGACAATTCCTCCAAAACACTTCTTGTTAAGAATCGTTTAAACAAACTAAACAACTTTGTTTAATCAGGTTTCTGTGACTACACACACATGTAGCACTACTGACCAATCCTTAATATATTCCACATTGAAAAGAACTACAAAACGCTCTCTCTCTCTTTCTCTCTAGTTCTCTCTCGTTCACGCCTCTTCACTTTAGAACCGTAAAAGCTCATTCTTGCCGATCTCAGAAGCACACTCTTTTCATTTACTTTCTTTTTCTATATATCTCGAGATACTGCAATATCTTCCTTTCATATATTCTATCATTATTTCCTCAACAGATTTAATCTTCAAATTTGAGTCTCTTGGTAATCAAGTCAATTGACTCTTATTTTTTAAACCGGCCCACGGGTATTGCCTACCCTTACTCCTCTTGAAGCAAACCGGTTTGACATGCCTCTCATTACATGTCTGAACAAAAATGGTCGATCCAGTCCTACATTATGACTTCCAAGTTTAGAAATCTGATGTAGAGATATATGGGATTGAGGAAGTTCACCTCTTCTGGCCTGACATAAATTAATTAATCGCATTTTTCGATTGTTGTTCCAAGGATTCTTAACTAAGAGATCACAAAAAGTGAGGCTAACTCACTGTACTGTGTACTCCATCAAGGTACGTACGTTGGAGTAGTCCCGTTTAATGCTTCTGACAAAAATGTTAAACTCAAAACCTAGTTTCAAATAGATTAGTTTAATCCTGACAACGATGTTAAACTCCATACTTTTTATTGAATTTTATCACTATATATGAACAATTCTTTTTACTGATAAGTTGACATGCATGAAAAGTTGAAAACAATGCAAAATGAAATCAAATTTCCTGAAAATAGATGTTTATACAAATTTACTTGGACGCATGATATCGGTTTCATATTATATATGTGCCAAAGGCTTTTTGCGCTATAGTAGACAATACATTATGAGCCTAAACATATAGGAAGGCTGTGCGTTTAAAAAAGCAATAATGTACATATTTTTGGTCATCTAATGACTAGAAGACAACAATTCATAGCAAGCTATACGCCCTATAGTCCTATACTCATGGATTATTTTACCCTGAGTTATATCATATACATGTATGTACTAATGTACACATGATAACATATAATATACTATATGAGAGCACCATCATTATCAATCAATCATCAAAAAATTCATGCAGTGGTTTGTCTTCGAATCATGTTTAGTAATATATAAAAGTAGAGACATAAGACAGACCATTAATTAACCAGCATAGAAATCATATATATAACGTATACATGAGTATATATATATTATATTATATAAAAAGATCATGGCATGTACAACTTGTTGCCGCACTTGCACCTCCAAGCTTCAGGGTAGTATTCGGCGGTGACAGGCGTGCCCGGAGGCACCGGGACGTGCACAGGCTTGCACGGCGTGCATCTTTCACACTTGGACGAGCACCGTGGTGGAGATGATCCCAGCCCCCTCAAAGTCCTTCGTATCCCAGCTGCATTGCTCCGGTCATCAGTCTTCTTCATCTTCTTTATCATCACCATTGTACGCTTCCCCTCCTCCTGAATGATATGGTTGTTTCATCAATAATAAATTATATTGTTTTTTTTTTCTGCCAACTAAACTTTTAAGTAGAAATATACATATATATATATACTTAAATAATATACATATTTTAAATAATTCATCATGCTGCAATCATTATAAGACAGCGAGTGAACTGTTTCTTTAATTGAATTGTGTATCTTTAGCAACAACAAAAAAAGACGCTTGTGAACTGTGTTAGTCAAGTATGCATTTTAGCAAAAACATGAACAACTGTGCTAAAATGCGCCTTTAGGTTAGAGAGTTTTTATGACAGGGCTAGGGGGTGTGAGACAAGAACCGGGAATACCGCTCCGCATAAAGCGCTACGCACATTACCAAGAAAGGGCAGAGAGTCTGAGAAGTTCCAAGAGGCATGTGAAATGATAATATTACCAGTTTACCACTCGATTGAGATAGGAACACGGAAAAAGCCAAGGCATGGACCCACAAGTAGTGAACGGACCAAAGTCGAGTACTGTCCTTGTCTACGTGTGCTGAAGCGAATCGGACGGCTCAGTCAGTCTCGACATGCCGTCACAGTCGCGGACTGTTCATGCGTATTTTAGCCACATACCCTTTTGTTTGTGTAGTCCTTTTAGAGATCCCCACAGTATAAGCTTATTTTAACAATGTTTTAATGACGAATCAACATCAATCTTGTCCTCCAAAGACACTTGAATCAAGAGAATAGATGGGCACTACTAAGCTATTTTTGGGCTTCGTGTGGCTGTGCTTATTAGGTATATAAAAACACTGGCAGTCAAGCCTAATTCCTAGTTAATTTTGACTCAACAATACAGTTTTTTACTTGCATAAGAAAATAGGATAGTTTCTACTGCTTATAGTATGGACCACGCTAGGTATAAGAAGAAGAGGATAAAAGAGATTACGAACCTGTGAATAGGATTGCCCTAGTTTTCCAGGTTTTGAGTTCCTAATATCTGCGTTTTTACAAAAAATTAACTTATATAAATGGTACAGTAATGAATTATTGTGACGTACGAACCAAATATTGAAAGATATTTATGTTTCAGAAAGATAATAACTAAAGATTTTTGTAAAAATAAAGAGTAATTAGTGTTAACGGAAAAGGAAGAGAGCTTACATGGTGAAGAAAGTGAAGAGGGAGTAATGAATGTAGTAAACGCACAGAGGACAACGCAGAGTGAGAATATATAAAAGACAATGAACATGGCTCTCGATTTTTCTGATGATGGTAATGATGACGGTCTCTCTAATCCCATGATTACGCAAATATATGAAAAACGCACCTAAGAAGAAACAGATATTACTTATGACTCCTCCAGGATAGTTTCATGCAAAAACTTGGTGGGTTTATAAAAAGGAAATCAATAAAAGATTATACAAAAAGATCTATTAATGTATTTTGGTTTCTTATGATTTGGGTTTTCTCAAAAACGAGAGGGAGTAGTGGGAGTGGTTGAGAAGGAGAAAGAACAAAATGAGTCGATTATGAGCGAACAAGGAGGGGTTTACTGCAAAATGTACAATTAAATTTGGAAAATTTTAATATAATAGGATATAGTAAAATAAATAGAAAAAAGAAGAGAAAGAGTGTAGGAAGAGAGAAGTAATTAAGAAAGGTACCTAAGCATTGCTAAGTTTGGGAGTTAGATTCTCCTGCACCCTATTTTCTCTGTCACTGTACCCTTCCTTTCTCCAGAATTTGCTTTTAGCAATCTTCCAAGCTTAATATATACTAGGATAAGACCTGCGCCTTGCGCATGGCGAATATATGTAATTAAAATATAAAATTTTAGTATTTTGACAAATTTAAAATTTACATATGATTGTTTTTGTATGTATTTGAAATTTAAGAATTTTGAAATTTTTATATAATTATCTATATGTAGGATCAAAAACAATTTTAATTAGAAATGTAGATCAAATCTTAGAATTTAATGGATCTGTTTTCATATATCTTTTCACTTTTCAGTGTTCGAGTGATGGAAAATAAATGGCGTATTACTGCGCTTGATTGGTAGAGTATTAGCAAGTTCCCTAATGTTTTTTAAGAATCAATTGGTAAAATATTTGCATTTAAAATATATAAAGTTTCAAAACTAATTTAATATAATTTATTTATCTGTCTAATAATATTAGAAAATTATATTTTTTACAAATTATTATTTTTTAAAATAATTTATAAAAAATTATGTTAATTTTTAAATTATTTTTAAAAACAATATTTTAAGTTTTTCAAATACAAATAAATAATTTAAAATTAATTATGGTCATGATTTAACATAACCATAATAATTTAAATATTAAAAAATTAAAAATTAACAAATTAAAAATTAACTCAGTTTTATATCATGATTTAACAATTTAAAAATTAATTATGGTTATGAGAAGTTTACGTTCACGTGTCAGTCCTATTTATCTTCCATTTTTCTCTTGCTATGTTTTTTTTATATTTTGGTTATTACTCGATATAAATATTTATTTTGAATTTTATTCTCATTTCGTTTGTTTTNTTAATTATGGTTATGAGAAGTTTACGTTCACGTGTCAGTCCTATTTATCTTCCATTTTTCTCTTGCTATGTTTTTTTTATATTTTGGTTATTACTCGATATAAATATTTATTTTGAATTTTATTCTCATTTCGTTTGTTTTAGAAAATACTTAAGATTTAAAATAATTAAAGAGATACATACTTAGGTTAAGATCTGCATTTTATGCATAATAAGTATTTTATATTTATTATTTATTTTATATTTTTCTGCATATTATAAATAATAAAATAATAAATACATATTAAATAACTAAGAAATCAGTTACTATTATGTAATAAATTTGCGTATGCATATAAATTTAACTATTACTCTTGTTTATTCACAATTAAGGTAAATAAAGCAAAATAACCAATCATATATATTGTATATGATATATAATTAAATTTAAATGATATAAACATAGTAATATAACACACTTTTAATATGGATATTAATTAAATGAGGTTTCTAATCATATGATTTTATGATTATTTACATATTTGTGTAACAAAACTTTACACCAACGATTTTTTTCAATGTGAGATGTTTAGTAGTTTCAATAATTTATAATCATTTAAAAAAACAATGACATATTTCAAAATTAAAATATTAACTTTTCAATATATGTTCAAGGCAAATATCAAAATATAAGTATGTATTTTCATACGATGTATAGTTTAATTAAAATGATGTTAAATATATATAAACTAAAATTATTTCTTCATATGGTCTTATAATCATTATATTTTAGTATAGAAAAAAAAATTAAAACCTTGATCTTAAAAGTTTATGTGGGACTTTTAACAGTTTTAGTAATTTATACTCATTTTGAAAAATTCGAAATACAACATACACAAAAAAAATTCTAGATTTTTATTATATGATTAATGTAATTGTGTAATTTATTTTAATAATAAAGAAATAAACAAAATGAAAAAAGTATACAGATTGTTATCAAATCTTTATTGTTTAAAATCATTAATTGTCATATATATATTTTGATCATATTAGGTAATTCCGTAGGTTTTATTTAAGGAAAGCATGTGAAACAATAAATATTTCATATATGCGACCAACTATAGCCTACGGAATATTATATTGCTAGAGAATATTATTTTTAAACTATACATTATATCACATACTCTAGAATCCTTGGGATTTGAAAATAGAAGTCAAAGAGCTATGCCACGTAGGATTGGGATTATTTTTAATTCTTATAAACTTAAGGTTACAACTTTTTAAATGATTCTCAAATAATATATAGGGGATATATATATATATATATATATATATGCTTATATATAATGTTTTAAAGTTCTTTATATTATATGCATGTGTCTGTAGACATTTGTGCTGTGTGTCACATCACATGTTAATAAGGTCTATACGATTTCACATGACTAGTAGTAATACTATATAATCTTCATTTTCTGATTGTTCTGAGCGATTAACAGAAAATTAGAGATACTTCTGTTAGGGTTTTAGATAGTTTGTTATAATTAGTCAAATGATTGTTTAATACTTATTAGTAATTGTTGATCATTAGTTCATAATTAAGGCAGAGAGATGAGACTGATCTGAAGAGGAGAAGGAAAAGGCAGGGCCGTGGAATGAAAGATGAGAGAGATTCGAAAGGCAAAGAGGTATGGACAAAACATCCCAGCAAATGTGTAAGAAGGGTTCCATCTTCATTCCTCATTTACAGATTTATATGTAGAGTTTTATCGATAATTATCTACTCATATCAATTCACACAAAAATACGTAAAGGATTCTTAAAATATAAAGTAGAAACGGTAAAATAAAGTAGAACGGGAAAAAGAATATTCATCTAAACGATGCATTCACAGTAGGAACGGCAAACAAATTGTAGTATATATAGAACTTGAACATCGAAGACTAAACATATACTCTAGATTTAAAATTCTTTACAAAAAAAAAAAACTCTAGAGTTCAAATTTTAATGCATATTAACAATGTCTAGTGATGGATTAGCGATATGTTACATGTTACAAATATTTATTACGTACTATACTTATTATTAAAATTTACAAAATTGGGTCTTTTTACCTGATTATTATTTATTTATACATCTTTTTATTTTTTAATTTTAATTTTCTATGATTAAAATACTTTTAAATGATAATATTTTGTATAGGAATCATGTCTTTTAATATATTTTTGTGTTTGTCCAATTTATATATTAATCCATAAAACTTATCCAATAAAAGCATTCTAACTCTTGACATGAGAGTTCAAATGTAAAAAAACCACTTTACAAATATATTTATTAAAATTTGCAAAAGTTAATTTTTACTTAATTATTGTTTATATATCTTCTATTTTATATTTTATGTGTAAAATATTTTCTGACGACAACTGACTATACAGTGAAACCTCTATAAATTAATAATGTTAGGTCTATACCAAAATTTTATTTTTTATTAATTTAGAGAGATACTAATTTATCGATATACTAATTGAACCAAAAACTCAGTTTGAGACTATAAAATTAAATTAATTTATAGAGATATTTAGTGTATATTAATTTATCGAGTATTAATTTATAAAATTTTTATTGTATGTAGAACTTATCTTTTTTTTAGAAAATATATACGTTTTCAAAATTTTATTTTATTATTTTATAATAATTTTTAATATAACATATAAATCTAATCTTATTAATCTAATTTTTTTTAAATCATATAATAAATTATATATAACAAATCATTAAAGGTAACAACCATATTAACTAGTCTAACTTTTAAAAAGAGAATTCAAATATGAGAAATCAATTTATTAAACAATTAATAGTATATTGGTTGATGAAAGGAATAATTAATTTATTAAATAATTCAAAATGATTGATCCAGAAATATAAATATATAAAGATAACTTTAAAATAAAAAAATTAAACATCTTTACTCTCATGTGTTTACGAGCGAGCGGAATGATTTTCTAGTAATAATTAAAAACAATGAATACTTACAAATGAACATGAATAATCGCGTGTTAGTGGTTCAGTGGTTAAAACTAAACATGAGAAGTCATGGGTTCGAGCGTTGTTAGGAGGTGATTATCTTGAGGGATCTCGAGCCCAATACGGAGAAGACTATTAACATATGGCTACTTGTAAAATTTACATGGGGTGATCACCAGCCTTTTGGATGCTTTCGGCAAGTTCCGTCAGTCCTTTAGTGACTTAGATTACCCAGACGGTCATTAGGTGCTAGTCGTCGGATCCTCTCGAATCAAATGGATACCAAAATCATAAAAAAAATAATAATAATGAACATGAGTGAAACAAATTTCTAGAAACTGAATATATTTAAATGAAATATATTCATGACTTATTTTCTCAAAAAAAAAAATATATTCATGACTTATCTTTTTCCTTTTATGGTAGATACACTTGACAATACTTTTAACTGCAGTACAGTGTTATACATTCATACAATCATCGCAATAGAAAAACAAATCAGAAATATTTATGGAGAGCTAGGGGTAACCTAACCATGACATCATAGCACCAAATTCTACATAAAACAATATTAAATATTACTAATTTTTAAATTAAACTTAATATATTAATTATTAATTATTGATGATTGACTAATTATATATTATTACATCTAAATTTATGTTTACTTGTAATATTTTTAAATCTGTTTTCATTTTTATTGTAAATGTTTGTTTTCTGATAGTTAATATATATTAAATTATTTATTTTATGTAAAATATTAGTTAAAATTTATTTAAAAATGGAAAATATATTAATTTTTATTTGATGTAACTGATAATTTAATTAACTAAAATAAAAATAAAATAAAAAATTAATTTTTAGTAGTGTAATTAAATAAAATTAATGGAATTATTATTTTAAAATTTGGTTTGATGATATAATACTATTCACAAAACTCGAAATGGTAAAATACTGTGATGTTTGGTTGGAGGTGAAATTAGTTCTTGTGTCAGAAAAGAACGGTTTGACCTCTATGATATTATTAGTATGATACAATCTCACCGACAACTCCTAGTTTCATACCATGCATTGACAACCAGACTTGTATCCTGTAACTAAACACTAACTTTTATGAAGGTAAATCGATCAATTTAATCGGTAGTATTAATTTTGCCCATTAATTTTAGGGTTTGTAGAATATTATCCTTAGTACAAGCGAATGGCTGTTAGAA